TAAGCTTTTATTCAATTTTCTTGTGTTCTTTAATTTTCTTCTTTTCTGGACATAAATTATGTATGTAAATTATGTATGTAAATTATGCCCAAATGTATTGTATTTCTGAGTACTTTTGGTTATACTTTTAGCCATTATCAAACATGATTTTATTTCTAATTTTAACTGAATGTATGGATTGTTTTATGTATGTATTTAGAGTTATAGGAATCTTTTATTTTCCATACATGATCAGAAAATTGTGGCCATGTTCATAAAGTTTTGTAAGTGTCCATTTGTATTTAAATACACATGGAGACCTATCAAGCTCTATCCAGAACATACTCATTGATAATACAAATATAAATGCATCATCCACATGTAAAAAAGGATAAAAATAATGGAAGCATTATTAATGAAAAAGAAAAAAGCAACACTCAATAATATCAACTATGAATACAGCCACAATGTACTAACCATGTTTGTAAAATAAAAGATCCTCTTCTTCATGTGTATGTGTAGTTGAATCCATATAAGCATCACTTTAGTCCAATGAAGGATGAAACATGTCACACAAAAACTTTTTCCACTTTGTCTATATATCTATATATATATATATATATAATAAAAAGGCTTAAACACTAATATTCCATGGTCATAATTTATTCCATTGGAATCGTAAATACGATCCAAATCATCAGACCTACAAATTCAAAATGAAAACAGAAAAAAACAACTCCGGAAATCAAAACAGAATTTAGAGAAAGTGTAAGTATGAGGATGAGTGACAGAGAGAATTTTTGGAGATGTGGGTGGGGTGGATTTAAAAAGAGGAGAGAAAGAAAGTCGACGGATGTATGGGTATATGTGTGTATATATATATATATATATATATATGTATGTATATGTATATATGTATGTATAGGTATATATATATGTATGTGTGTATGTATGTATGTATGTGTATGTGTATGTATAAGTATGTATGTATGTATGAATATGGGGCATATGTATGCGTGTATATGTATGTGAAAAGTGTGTGTATATGAATATAGATGAATATGTGTATGTGTGGATATGTGAATATATTTTTAGGTTTTTGTATATATATATGTATGTATGTTTGTGTATGTGTATATATATATATATATATATATATATGTATATATATATATATATATATATATATGTATGTGTGTATATGTATATATATGTGTGTGTATGTGTGTATGTATGTGCATGTACACGTATGTCTGGTGTGTGTGTGTGTACATGCCTAAGTGTATGTACCTACTTGTATATGTTTTTTTTGTGTGTGTGTATTAGTATGTGTTTTTGAACATAGAAATATTTGGTCCTTGCGAAATGAGACAATCGTTATATTCATCTTCATATATTTATATTTGATTTTAAATTTTAAGTAAACACAATTTTTATTTTCCTTCGTCCCATCCTCTCCCCCACCCTTTCCCTTTTTTTTTTTTTTTTTTTTTTTTTTCCTATCCGAATTGTCTGTGGTGTGTATATGTCACCACGAAATGTATCTTTATGTATTAGACATCCGTCGACTTTCTTTCTCTCCTCTTTTTAAATCCACCCCACCCACATCTCCAAAAATTCTCTCTGTCACTCATCCTCATACTTACACTTTCTCTAAATTCTGTTTTGATTTCCGGGTTGTTTTTTCTGTTTTCATTTTTTGAATTTGTAGGTCTGATGATTTGGATCGTATTTACGATTCCAATGGAATAAATTATGACCATGGAATATTAGTGTTTAAGCCTTTTTATTATATCCTTACTCTGTCTTAGACATTGAGTTCTACCTGGATCCTTCCTCTTGAAAAAATTTTTTCTGAAAATATACATGTATGGGAATTTTTTAGATATATTTTTCATATGTATGTATATTTTCCACTAATATTATCTATCTATCTATATATATATATATATATATATATAAGTATGGAAAAACAAAACATAAAGTTTTATATAACAATTTTAGGGAAAAAACTGACAAAGTGGAAAAAGCTTTTTTTTTCTTTTTTACATATATATATACAAATCCAATTTATTTTAAATGCCAAATATATTTTCTTAAATTAAAAAAAATGTAATCCCATTATAATATATAACTCTGCCAACATTGCAATAACCAGATATTTTTATTAAAATTTAAATTACGTAACACTCAGTATGTTGTGCATGAAAATACAAGTCATGCTATGTATATTTATTAATATATATTTAATAGCTCTGTTGTATTACATCAATTAAATTCACTAAAACTACCAACAATTTACAGCAAAAAATGCTAAAGGACGTTTCTGTCATCAAAAAATCTAATAAAATAATTATCAAAGCAGATAAGATGGGTAACCATTACAAAATCAATGTGGATATGTACTATAAAACTACTTACAAGGAAATTAATAGGTTTTATAAAAAGGTACCCAACAACTGGGAAAATAACAGCAATAGTGAAACCAAGAAAATAGCCATTGAACTAGGGTCTAGAAATTCCACAAACAACAAACATTCATCACAGTTAAAGACCATAAGGCAAATTTCCTAAACAACCATCAGTACCTATCACTCAACCCAGCTAAAAATAATATCGGCAAAATCAGCAAAAACATATTTGGAAAAGCATGCAAATACATGAAAATTACTCTCAGAATTAACCAGTGGCATGAAACAGTAGAAGTCATAAAATGGTTTACTAATATGAAAAGGAAGAATGAATATACATTCATCCAATTCAATATTTGTGACTTTTACCTGTTCCTCACTAAGAATCTGCTAATGTCTGCTATAAATTTAGCAAAAAATTATTGTCCTATTAGTGATTGTGAAATAAGTATCATAAAGCAAGCACAGAAGCTTATATTTTTCCATAATGGTTATCTGTGAACCAAAAGAAGTAAACCAGAATTTAATATTGTTATCAGAGCATTTGATTCAGCATAGGCATGTAAATTAATTAGAATCTTGTTATTGTGGCAACTAACATTTATTTTTGACATTAAGTACACTGGACTCTATAGAGATGACAGTATAATTTTCTTCCATAAAACAAGTCTGAGAAATATAGACTGACTGAGAAAGGAACTGGTAAATGTTTTCAAAGATCAAGAGCTAAATATTACAACTACCACTAATACTGAAGTGATCAACTTTCTCATTGTGGCCTTGGACATGAATAATGGTCATTACAAATCATATACCAAAGATCTATATAACTATAAATATGTCAGTAAAGAATTAAACCACCATCATAAAATTCTAGATAATTTACATAAATAAGTTAGATTTATCTACCAACTCCGACAATAAAGAAATATTTGATAATAATAAAATTAAATATATGAAAGCTTTAGATTTAAGCAATCATAAAATAAATTTAGAGTAATTAGAAAAAACAAAGAAGGTAAAAATAAACAGAAAAACTCTAAGCGTAATATCATTTGGTTTAATCCACTCTTTAGTCATAATGTTCAAACTAATATGAGAAGAATTTTCCTAAATTTAATTCATAAGCACTTTATCACCAACATTAAAAAAGATTTTTGACAAAAATAATGTTTAGATCAGCTATAGCTGTATTAATAACATCAATAAATCTATATTCCAACATTACAACATTAAATTAAATAAATGTTTTTCCAACAAAGACATCAGTTTTTTCAAATATAAATGCAACTGCCAAAAAATATGATCTGTTCCTTAAACAGTCAATGTATGACTGGTAATACTGTATACTGAGCTAGCATACATTCCAGTAACAATGTTAAATTTTATTTTAGTTCAACTGAAAACTCTCGGAAATTTCATTCCTACCATCAACTTTAGGCAATATAAAATACAAAAATAGCACTGCTCTCTCTAAATATTTCTGGCAATTAAAGAATGATGGTAATATACCTTTTATCTCTTGAGATATTGTAGCAAGAGCCAAATCTTACAATGGGAAAGGAAATAGATAGAATTTATGTCTTGTTGAAAGTTAATTTAAGACACTTAAATAATGCTAGCTTATTAAACAAGACAAAGGAATCGAGGTTTATATGTAGGCCTAAAGATAAATATTTATTTAAGTATGTTGATCCAGATTAATTTTTAATGCAAGTTGCATTTTTTTTTATTTAAAGAACAATTAATCTCACTTTAGACTTAAGATAAAAAAATTAAAAAAATTAATATACACAATTCCAAAATAATTTTTTTTTACGAATATATACAAATCTTGTTCATTTTAAATGCCAAATATATTTTTCAAAATTAAAAGACCTGTAATTCCAGTATAATATATAACTCTGCCAACATTGCTATAACCAGATATTTTTATCAAAATTTAAATTACATAACATTCAGTCTATACTCATCACCTGAAGATTGCGTTCTGCATGAAACTCTGAGTTGTGCTTTTGGTTGAGGATAGTATGTACCGGGTGTAAGAGCAAAAGTTTCCAAAGCATGTTACAGCATAATTGACAATCCCACAATCTATAAACCGCTAAACTAATTGAGTTTCTTTTTTCCAGGTTTTTAGATAAGATCTTTAGCCAACTTTACACTATTTGTCATAAGAATCACTGAAAAATTTTTTGAATTATTCAGCTAGAAAAAGAACTGGTTAATATTGTTTTGTGTCAGCCCCACTGTCTGTTGAAAAAGTTGGAAAATGATCCTGGAATAATATATATATATACATTTGAACTTTATTTCAATCTTTCATGAGCTTACAATCCTTAGTAGCTATGATTAATTAATGATGAACATGTCATTTTCGTTTATGATTGATTTCATCATGATTCTTCTGTTAAGCATGGAGAGTAATTATACATTCTTATTGCATGAAGTACAGACCAATAGTGTTATAAAAACCTCAGAGAATCCCAGTAAGATATCTTTAATCATTTCTAAGCTCCAATGGTTCAGAGCGTAATCTAACAATTGGACAATTTTGTTGTTAACCTAGTATATTTATTAATATATACTTAATAGCACTGTTTTATTAAC